CCTCAGCCCCCCTTACTGGTTCTCTACAAAAATAAACTGTGATTCTCATCCTATTTGGTTTCCTGAGTCTGCATCTTGTGGTCCCACATTCAGTATACTTAACAATATCAGGAATGCCCAGAGGGAATTTCACGACTTCTGTCACACAGTGACCTCACAAAATACATTTTTGGTCATGACTCACAAATTCATTCACTAATTATGGCACAATTTAACCAAAATATCTATAAGGATAAAATGAAGTGATGTGTCTGATTAGATGTTTGCACATGTTTCATTTTAAAATAGAGGAATGCATTTTGACACAGTTGTAGAAACAATTCACTGACCAGCCTGAGGGGGGGTATAATAATATCACCCTTACTATCCTGCTTCCTTACCCAGAGTGATGTACTGGCCCTCAAAGTTCAGATCTTTGAGAACCACAATAATCTGGCTCCCCTCTGGTGAGGGCTCCGTCCATCGACTCACCTCACAGCCCTTAATGTCGTACCTGACGACACAGAACACATGTCAGACAACATGAACTGCTCCTAATGTTACTCCCTCTGTGTTATTTCTACTGGCAGCTTACCTGGCATTGATCCGATCATCTGGATAAAACACACTTTGCATAACAATGAAGTATTTCTGCAAAGGACAAGTGGAACAGACAAGGTTCTTTATGATCATTGGTAACATCCTGTTATAGAAGTAGAGCAGTGATAAAATGTGATGTGTACCTTCCGTCTGTGTGGGATCTTGATCCTGTGGACACCTGGAAAACACAAGAGAAAACACTCAGTCCAGTGCAACAGTTTATTTACTCAAGTACTGAGTTAATATACAATGACTCTTCCCATTCTGTGCTACTTTATACTAATACTGTACATTTTACAGCCTTAGTTGTTATCAATATTTTCCAAATTAAGTTTTACATTAAAAAATATATGATAAGTTTATGAAGTACAACACTGTGTTAAAGATTAAACCAGTGGTTCAGAACCTTTTTGAGTTGACTCGGAAAACATCTGTGTGTATTCAAGGCTCCATCATAACAACGTTTTGTTTGGTTTTTATGGGCATTCCCTAAATCCTTTAAGGACGCTGGCATCCTTTCATTTTTAGTTGAAGTGATCCCAGATGTCTTAGCGCGTGACTTTCCCAAGGGTCTGGAAATGAATAGAGCTCACCGGGTGCTTACCTCACGCAGAGCGGGAAACCAGCCACATACAGCCATAGTGGCTAGGTTCCTAAAATAACAAGACCGGGATCAGATTATGCAAGCAGCACAAAACAAGGGAGAGTTGATGTGGAGAGGACATCATGATTATCATGATTTTTCCTGACTACTCCAAGGCAGTGAATGAGAAACGCAAGCAGTTCAACAGTGCAAGCAGATGCTCCATGAATGCCCCATGGGTTTTTCCCTGCGCTTCCTGGCTGTGTTGGTCATCAATCCCAAGGGTGAAGATGATCCCCAGAAAGCCCTGGAATACATTGTGACTGATGCTTCCAGTGATACTCATCCACTGAGCAAACATAATAACATGGTTACTGTTGAAAAAAAAAAAAAAAAA